ACAATAACAATTTTTGCAAAGTTCGAATCTCATCAATGATTCTCACACTGTCTGGGACACGATTCCAAAATATTTCCTGCATTATATTTTGTAATTAGACGTATTAACAGGTATTGAAATTGGGGGTGGCGCAGTGGGTTGCGAACTTCACTGTGGGCCCATCAACCTGAGTTTGATCCCTCGCCTTGGCTTAGATCAGTGGCGTGCGAAGCCTGACCTGGCACTGGGGCTCCCAATCATTAACCCGCACTGACCTGTAAAATTAAGTACTGTATATTCAAACAACCCCTGAATGTGGAGAGGACTTCATCTAGCAGTGGATTTAGAAACGGCTGAAAAAGGTTGTCATGATTCAATTATCCTTAAATAGGTTCATAAAAATTTCCCTGCTCAAACAATTGTGGAGTGGTGCTCATTTCCATTGGAAAACCCTGCGATAAGAGCAGAATATCTACATTTCTGTGACAAAGCTAGTCCATCCATTAATGGTTATCCCACTGGACTTACAATCTTGAATTCGCTGGTTCGACTCAATCTTCCGGCACAGAAAGTGAAACAATGGGCAAAGCTATTCATTAAACAAGCGATGTTCTGAAGCGAAAAAAAATCTCGATTGAAAGAGGCAACGCCGCAGGCATCCAGAGTTTGGCAGCCAAAGCCTGATTGGTGGGGATGCTACAATAGCAGTCCTTGGAGATTTGGTGGCAAATGCACAAAAATTGCAGTCTGACAGAAGAGAGGAATGAATGGCGAGGAGTGATGGGTGATATCAGCGACGCTGATCGTGAAGACTTCGTAATCTTGAGTCTCAGATGACTAGGCCTGCGTATGAGAATGGGGTTCATGCAAAATGCAGAGCAGTTTCAGGCGGTCATGCAGCTCAAAAGTCAGAGAGCTGAGTTGGCACTGCCGAGTTCCTGGTTTGAAATCCAGGTTGTGACTCATGGTTAAATTGGGTTCTCAACTATGGTTATTTGATTATCTCATCCCAGCTGCTTCTGCACTAAAGTTGGATAAATTGCAGCCCTGACAATGAAAATAGTGTAGTGATCATAAATATTGGTTTGACTGTCTCGCCTACTGTGTAAAGGATTAATAGGCCAATTGAATGATTTTGTTTTTATTTCTCTGAGACATATCTTCCAACACAAGGGTGCACTGCCCCATGATATTTCCAAACGGGTTCTTGATCTTAGGGCATGGCACCATTTCCACCATTGGAATATACTGTGTTGGAAACATAACACAAAATATGTTTAAACCGTGGTAGTGTCTCTGCTGTGGAATGACACCGCCTGTTCTCATGAGCCAAAATTGTAAGTTGTAATTCCCTTAATTGAACGAGTAATCAGTGAGCTACTGGTTACACCCTTGACATTTCAAAATGCATAATTCTGGCCTGCGATATCTTGCCCAGGCAGCTGCCGAGTGTGCCCACGCGGGTACAATCCCAACTTCTCGTGACACAGATGAGTGGCTCCCTGCTCAAATGAGCAGTGGGATTGAACTTATCTTCATCGGTAGTCGGGTTGCCACCTGTCCCGGACAGAATGGGAATTGTCACCTTTGTCTGGGTGGCAGGAATTGATTTGTACTAAGATCTGTTGGTATTGTGTTGAGGTTTATAAACAGCGCACTGTTCCGTTTTGATAACACTCGGCTGACTGAGGAATATATCCGGGTTTGGTCTGTGGAAACGGTGACAATTGTAGTTTGCAGCCATGAGCGATTGGTGGAAATTCCCCATTTCTATGATGGGGCCCAATCTAGACATAGCGAAAATACTAATTCTGCAACGTATGAATAGAAAATTGCATTTCAAAGGCAATTAAATAAAACCAGGCTTGTTTGAGTTTCTGGGCATTCCCATATCCACCACATATCCCCTGCTCCTATTAACATTACATAATCGATGGAGATCCAAGAACTCATGTTTTCTAAAGATCACCAACCATCCTCTGTCCCCAGCAATACCAGTGCAGTGTAACTGCCAGGACATTGACACTTTTTTCTGAGTGTCTCCAGCATGCCCGAACAGACAGCGGATTTTTCAGGGTAATCTGGCTGGCCAAACCGTCTGCGTCATATGGGTGCGGCGACACGCACACACCCATGCCACCTGAGACTTGGAGAGTCATACTGGCAGCTAACTGCATAATACCCGGTCAGCTCAATGGAAGGCTAATGAGAACCACATAAACGGGGGGATTTTTTTAATGTACAGTACGTATGTTGAACTTATTTCGTACCATACGTAGCCAACCGTGCTAATTGGAGGTACGGGAGAATGCAAAAAGCAGTTCTAAAGAAAGTAGTCCCCTTCCATTAATGAAGTACATGTAAGGGGACCTGTTCGAATTATCTGAAAAGCAAATTGTATTCATGCTTGAATTAGCCTTTGCGGCATTGCTAATCTCTCTGGAAATTCCACATTCCTATAGCAGAAACTACTTAATTGAACGTCCGTTTCCTAGGCACAAAGTCAGTCCCTGACTGGGATTTGAAGTTAACCGTACAATTGTGAAATACTGTAATGAGAAATAGCAAAATATTCCAACACTCGACTAGAAACATACATCGCGCGGCATTTAATGAGAGTATGACATATTGGTATGACTATATGGGTGTTTTAAAATAAGTGAGTGACAAGGGCACTGAGATCTTGTTTTGAAGTCAATAAGATGAGCACCACTCCCTGGAAAGTCAACAGTAGTTGTCCTCAAGTGAGACTGGTCCCCGCCATATACAGTGGCACAAGGCTCGAAGGCAGAGATGAGTGCCACCCCCATCAACAGTCGGCACGCATATCTACAAGGTAAAAGTGCAGTCCTGCAATTGCTTTCTCGTGCCACTCCTGGCAGACGGCCCTCCACCAACCGTCCTAATCGCACCTCCGATTACCCGAGTTGGCTATGTACGGTGCGAAAGAAGTTCACCGTACATACATACAAAGCCCAGGAGGCCGTGTAGTGGGTATTTGGCCTACTCTTTTACGCTGGCCAAACATATTGAAAAAGGGTGGGAGTACACATTTTACCCCATCGCACACGGCCTGACAATTGCCTGTGCGGTACCCAATGACAGGGCTGGGTGGACCGAGACAAGGGGACGATTCAAGAAACGTGCCCCGTGTTTCAACTGCCACAGCGGGAGATCGAAACCTGCTACCTCTGGATTGCAAGTCCAGTGTGCCGACCATCACACCTAGGCAGCACACGTTTTGCACTTAATTGAGCCACGTGACATTCCGTGCCCTTGATTTGCATGTGTCTGTTACGTCGAGCGTAATGCAAAACCGTGCGCTGCAATGTCACACAAACGTGGCATCCACTGAGAAGGCTGCCTAATGAAAAACACCACCGCTGCCTTGCACCGAACACTAATCCAGCCTCCAGCAGCCCATTGCATCCCTTTCCAAGCTCCCCCCTGCAGAGCCATTGATGTCTCTTCCCATTACGAATATCTGGTACAGCTGTGCCGGTGACCTTGATCGATGTGTTACAGGTGACCTTGGTTGATGTTACAGGTGACCTTGGTTGATGTGTTACAGGTGACCTTGGTTGATGTGTTACAGGTGACCGGGTGAGGCAAGGATGACATTTAATGGCAAAGAGTCAGAAGCAAAGGTTGGCACGAGGCCCATTCGTTAAGATCCCATCCCTGCTTGGATGTCTCAGGGCCTCAATTAGAGTGACCTTGATAAAAAAAAAAACTGTTGTTTTTCTGCACCATTACCTTGAAGCGCAATGCACTTGGTTGGTGGATGTTCCGAGAATTGTGTGAAATAATCCTTTTTCTCGCTCTTCAAACCCCTCATTCACACGTCCCACACTATCATCAGGTGATTGTCTTTTTTGCTGGCCATCGAACAAAGACGGTCACCGCATCGCTTGCTTTCAGATGCGCTTCTGCGGCCGTCTGGAATGCTCTTCCTTTCGATATTGGGAAGCCACTGGAGCAAGGCACTTTTAAATCTAAATTGAAAACGGATTTATTCATAACTGCTTTTGTTTGTAGTTGTTGTCCTTCCCCCGCCCCGCCGATTAGCAAGGTTGGCTACGTACGGTGCGAAAGAAGCTCAACATACAGACTGTGGGAATGCGTGGAAGTGACTGAGAGCCAAGTCTGGTGAGCATCGGTTTTCTTCATATTTCTCTCAACTTACTTTTTTTCGAAGGAGGTTGGGGGCTCATGGTAACTATTCCTTGAGCAATGAATCCCTGAATAATGTGCACCACTTTCCGAAGTTGCCTGGAATGCGGGGAAGGAAATACAATCAACCGCGGTTTTGTGATTAAGACTCTAAATCGAATATTTGATGACGAAAATAAAAAAAATATATAATAAAAACTAACAAGGTGGCTTCAAAGGGCTCTCACAAACTGCCAGTTTGGAACGGGCAATACCGGAATAGAAATGGCAGCAAATGTCCTCACGTGCGTGCGCGCGTGCTCATTACGTGGCACATTCGACATCACACAGAGCGTCGGGCTCTTTCATGTTTGGCTGGCGCGGGTCACGACTGAGCCGTGTGGCATCACCGCGGCGTGAGCCTCCTGCAAGTAGCGCAGTAGCGACATCATCAGAGCTCATGGGGTGGCGTCAATCGGTCAGTAGGCGAGGGAGGTTCAAGGAACTCGCCACGTTGTTTCAACTGCCCGCAACAGGAGACCGGTCAGCGTGCTGACCATTAAAAACCACGGTAACATCCCTCGCAGGAATGAACGCAAATAGAACAAAATCTGTAATCGCTTTATGAGCAATTGTATGCCAGATTACCGTGACAGGTGGCGGCAGTCCATGTGGCCTGCACACACGTTCCTAATTTTACCATCTCCGATCAGATAACAGGCAAACTTGGCACCCGAATGGTAATTTGAACTCCCCTTACCCTTGTGATCGCGAGCCAAGCGCTCCAACCATTGCACTCGAACACCGACCGAACGGCAATTTGACAAGTTTGTCACTCATTATTGATAATAAACCGCGGTGTACAGGTATAGAATGAGCAGATTCTTTATTAGGAATGCACACAACCACAGGCTTTACAAACTTAACAAAAGCAACTGAAAAAAAATAACTAAAATGACATTTAACATACCATCATCTTTTGTATCAACATATAGGCAGATAAAACAGAATTTTATATAAAACCCAAAAGTCACCTCTCTAAAATTTGAAAGCTTTCCCAAGACACATTATTGGTAGAGTCCACGTAACAAATATTCGTCTCTTTGCCTTAATCCAACAGCGCGGAGCATCGATTCCGAGTGATGACGACGACCCCACGCTCCCCTGGAATTGAGACGTTGGGGGACGTTTTCACCTAAAAAAAAGAAACTGATCACCTTAAAATCTGGCCTCTTGTCTGGGAAGGCAGTGGCTAAATGCACTACTCATCAATTAGCATGTCAAACAAAAATAAACTCCAGAAGTGCCCTACAACATGACCCACGGACAAAACCGGCCCAGAGAACGATTTTGTAACTACTCGAACGCATCCCTCACCCCACACCTATTTTGGTGTGCAAAGCAACTGCATGTGTGCTAAAACGTTATTACGGCAAATTCCACGTGATGCGTTTGCGATGACTAAAGCAATCTGGTGATAACAAATAACCCGCGAAGCCCTACTAATATTCTCGCTGGCACAAGTGCCCTGTCAACTGGTTCCCTTTACTGTTCCACGTTTCATGATTTACCAACTGCCGAGTGGTGCTGTGGTCAGCATACTTCACCTGGTAGTATTAGGTGGTGGTGGTGGTGGGGGGGTGACTCAGTCCATCTTTCCTCCAGCATCCATAAAATAAGAACCACTTCATGGAAAGTCAATCGTGGCCATGCTTTGGAGACCAGGCCGCCCATCACCACCAGCAACTCAGGGCCACGGATCGAGGCAAGCGCCACCCCCATCCCTTGCTTGAGGAAGGGGGCGGGAGGGGCACTTCGTTTTTTTTTCATCTCAATTGTGCTATCGGCAAAAAAAACGAGTGAAGCAATTTTCCTTTACAGAGCTCACTCTACACAGCAAATCCATGTCATATCATAGATCTTCACTTAATATCCTTCAAGGGTCCATCTCATCCAAATCTCAAGATTGCGCTCTTGAGCTGTGTGTTCAACCGACTGATCTTCTATGGGGCTCAGGACCACTATTCTGCGGATAAGGCATTTAAAATAGCAGGCGAGTTGAAGATAAGACATCTGCAGCGATTGGTGACTGGGGGGATTCCACAGGCTCGCTAAACATGAAGTGCCTTGTTCAACAACAGTTGTTTGCCGGGATGTGAACCCAGGATGTCGGCGGTGCCGACAGTGTGCTCTGACTGGCATGAGCCCAACTACAACACTCGGGACAATTCCGTGGCAAAATTCCCAATATGGTACTCACGTTAAACTCTACATATATCCAGGAACATTAGGAGGCACACTGCCTGCATTTTTCGTCATTAGCATAACCACTGCAGGCAACAGATGACAGCTTGCAGATGGCATTAAAAGTGCAGAGGATATTATTGTACAATTACTTGTTTGGCACTTTCAGGAATGCAGTATCACATTACACAAGCAATCTTGATGCCATTACCTGCCAATTATATCTATTCCAAACAAGCTTTTGGAACGAAAATCGTGCTTTCTGAATGCCAAATAAAGGTCAATTCAATGCTGCAGCGTACAGCAGAAAACACTTCTGGTTGTGAATGCAGGTGTGCGTGTGCATCCTAATATTCGAAGGCTAACCCCCCCTCCGCTGATTGAATACCATTCACAAGTGTCTACTGCATGTTTGATTTTGCCATGGGCGATTATGGTTTTTATAGTAGCAGGAGGGAGACCATTCATTTGGGTTGCAATCGTGGCCAGATCCGTCCTCTCGTCCTCGGTGGTCCGTCCAGTCCCCTCCTCACCACGCCTCCACTTCACCTGCTTGAGAGGGAGACACTCGTGAGAGCCCTGAAATAGTTGTGCGCGTTCCCTTCAGCCATCACGTCAATCTCGCACAACGAATGGACCATGCAACATAGAGAGGAGCATCTCACATTTTGGATTTAGCTGCACTTTGCGCTTTGATCGTGAAAATACTGTCACCGCTTCAGCTTCGGCAAACATTTAAATGTCATACGGAATCTGGATATAAGCACACCTTATATTAGCACAGTTCTGGTAAGCAACATAGGCTTGCATTGCAGTGGTAGGGGAAGGCAGAAGGCCATGTCGTATATGGGCACACGTGGTCTTACTCCCAAAGAGTTGTGCTCATATTCAGCTTCTGCTGTATTCCTATTTAACCTTTTTAACTTACTGGTATCGACATCTTCCTAATCTTTCATATCGATTGTAACAATGACAAAAAAAACAGTTGGCTCCCTCTATAAGGTGTCCTCTGCTGTATCCAAAAAAAACTTGATATTACTCAGATGCCTCAATGGGCTCCAATATGCATTGAACAAAATATACATCATATCCATATCGAACTATATATCCATTGTGAAATTTTGGACAATATGTGAAAATGACCAACATATAGATCTTAGCAAATGTATGCATATCGAACCTCTTTCGCACCGTATGTAGCCAACCGTGCCAATCGGAGGTAAATGTTGCGTGCCAATGGATAGAAATACAAATATATCTATTCTGAACCTTCCTCAAGACTACACAGTGACTCTCCGTTGACTCTGTTGCTGAACCTATAACCTGCGCTGTCATGAGACTTCTCGCAATATGCATCGATAATTTACAGGTGCAGTCCAAATGCAGCATCAGCATCATCACAGAAAAAGTTGTTAGTATGGTTAAGAGTGTGTGATGCCACCAGCAGTGAGGACTGCATTTGTAAAGTATTGGGCCTTGCCTGATTTTCTCATAGGTTTTGACATGTTAATAGCCAGTAATATCCACAAGACTCGGGTCATCATCACAGCTTCACGTGTAGCTATCAATGTTTCCTTCATTGTTTAAAGGAACTCGACTCATCTCGATGATGAAGATCGCATCAGAAAATGTAACAATTGCGAACGGAGTTGATGACACGAGGTCATAATCCGACCGACGGTCATTAAGCAAATAAATAAAAGCCCATTGGGATGAATGACCTATCTTTCGACAGTTAGCTGGGTAAAATCGCCTTTTATAGTGGGACAGTAATTAGAGTATTTAAATTTGTGGATTTGTTTTTCACAATGTAGAGGTTGCAGCTTTCGTAGCCAGTGCACAATGACCTCCTATTGTAAATTATTTTGATGGATTTTGAAATAAAATGTTCAGCCAACACCACACACACACATATATATTTTCAATATACCATTGGGCAACTGCAGAAACTGAATCACCAAACACTGCAAACTCCCCCAGGGGAACACACGCACCTGTACCTTCGAAGCTTAGCCACACCGTGGGCATTCCATAGCCACTCAAAGCTGCAGTAAAGCATGTGTATGTCATCCCCAATTACACAGTCATGAATAAAGGTGATGGAACGTCTTGCCAGAATTCCTTGAGCCCGTCAGGGCGCTGCCTCAAGTCAAGGACTCGTGAAGACGACGCCACAGAATTACCTCTTGAGTCACTTCAGTCGGTCTCTCTCACCCAACGCCAGACGGCAAAGAGCGTTTTCCCCGCGTGTGCATCACGCTCTACAGTTCGAAGATCTGGGCTGTGCCAAAATAAGTGAATGTTTAAGAGTGTTCTTCTTTGGAATGTTGAGAGAGCCAATACCATAAAATTCGCCACACTTTACAAACTGATTTCAACGCAAATAAAAACTTGGGGGACCGCACTGGCGAATGGGTGCAAGCGTAGATCAGGAACCACCCCACCAGCATCATTAACAAAGCTGTCTAAATAATACAGCGGGGTGACTTGCACACAATGGCACTCAAAAATCTCTGTTATGAATGAAAAAGTCATCAGAATCAAGGGAGCTGACATTTACATACCACGCGATTACTTCATCTCTTCAACTGCACCACACAGCTTTTGTAAGACAGTGTTAACGATGGTGGTGGGGTGCCGACTTTGATCCGAAATACTCAATGGGAAATGAAGCCTGGATTTGAACCCAGGGATCTTGGCCATAATGAGCCCCGGTGAGTAGCACTGCAGTGAGACTCAAGAGCTCAGAAGTCGGGTTCAGTTCCTGATAGCGGAAGTCAACTCAGCCATTCATCTCGACAGGGTTGAGAAAGTCACTACCACTTTGCGGGCAGTCAAACGTGGTCGCCCAATGTTGGAACTTTCCCCACCACGGCGAATGTGGAAGTTCCACCATTGGCTCAAGACCCACAGTGATGAGCACCGTTCCACGCGCATCTCGTTCCCGTGGCAGTGTTACCAGATTCTGGAGGATGCTTTGTTGTCAACAGACAACAAGGAACCAATCTATTTCTCGTAGCGTTAATGTGGAAATCGCGCAGGAAAAAGAAAAACCCACTGCATTTACAATGATTCATCTGAACGAGTTAATCCTGCAAAGAAGGCATCGCTCTTTGTTAAAAGTGATACAAATTAGACTAAACTATATACATAAACTAGAATTTAACTATGTATTTATTAAAGTGTTACAAATTACAAACCTTGCATTCTAACCAAAACAAATCCAATCCAATTAAAAATGTAATTTATTTATCCAGAAAGCCTCATCGAATGCCATACATTTTCCATCGGGACCTTGCACTGGGATGCTTGGCCAATCCCATGGCAACGAGCGAGCGCTTTGCATGCAGAAGGGAACCACAGCACCCGGAAAAATCCCATGTGCACGAAGGGTAACACTGACGAGGCCCGCACAGATGGGTTCACAAACCAACTTGCTGTACTGCCATCTCGAGGCTACCTCGTGGCCCAACAGGGTTGGGAGATTCACAAACCTACATAGACAACCAGTTCTCACCTCCGCAGCAATGTGCCACCGCGCCGTGCGCGAAAACTAAAATCAACGCAACTTCCAACTCCGATCTGGTAACACCGACACCCCGCCACCTTGCAAAATGACAATCGGAACGATCGCTTGGGCTGATTGAATCAACGGGAGCGTCGCACGCGAGATTGGAGCGATCGCTTCATTCGATTGGATCGACGGGAGCGCCGCGCGCGAACCAGAGAGCGGGTTGAGGGGCCGCTAGTGGCCGTCGTGAGGCAAGCCCCGGCGATCGGGCACGGCCTGAGACGCCGGGCCAGCGGCGAACACGCTGCCGGGGGTGGGAGGCTCGGAGGCGTAGTTGGACCCCGCGCGTGTCAGCTCGGACATGGCCCAGAACAGATCGCCGTCGGAGAACCCTCCCCCGCCAGCGGAGGGATAGGCCAAGCCGTGCTCGGAGCCAGCGTGGGAAGAGGGGTAGGGGGTAGCACCGGGGGGAGGGGCTGGAGCGTGGCTGGGGTAGCGTGCGGGGAGCAGGGCACCTGCGAGGGTTAAGATGAGCGGTTGAATGGTTTTGAGGTTTTTACGTCAAGGTCAGGGAAATGGATGGAAGGGAAATGGATGGAAGGGAAAAAAAAGGGCGAGAAACGAGGCGTGAGGCACGGTAGGGAGAGAGGGATGGGGAAAGAGATGAGAAGAACGTCGGTGGAAGGGGTTGGAGAACGTAGATTGATGACGAGCCAAGGAAGGAAGGACGTGGTTCAGGGACGACAAAGCAGAAGGGAGACAAGGAAAGGACGAGGGACTCGTGATACGATGGAAGAGACGAGGAAAGGGAGACGGTGAATGACGAGGAAAGCCATGGGAGACGGGGCAGGGGACGAAGGCAAGAGGGCAACGTACAGCGCAGGCATTGTTAATGGAGGGTAAATTAAACGGATAATGAAGCAAAAGGATGAAGGGAAAAAAAGCAGAGCAGGGCAAGAGGCAAGTGGGTTAGGACAACCACGGCCTCTCCACGCTTTTCAAGGCCCCACACCGAAGGCATGCGGGAGGCAGAGCAGCCACGGATTAACGGGAAACGAGCTCTGTTAACATCTCGGTTGGGCGCATCGAAGCCAGTGGGGATTGGAAGAGAGTCGGCAGCGTGAGAAGCAAGCGCTGCACAAAGCTCTCTCGTTCCAGATACAAGACACCACGCTCGGCCGTCTTCCCCCATCATCGTCGCCGCTTCAACTGTGGGTTGCAACTGAAGTGGCGCTCCGAGAGCCATTGCTTAAGGGTGCCTTATAAACGTAAATTGTTGTTATCACTAAATCCTGAGTGATCGGTGCTCATTGTTTTAAACCTTCATAATCACAAAATAAACATGTTTTATCTCATTTTGTTTAATCCTAAGCAATACAAATGTAAAAGGGATTTAGAATGCAAGTTTGAACAATGCACTTATCATCACTTTATACTACCAGGATGCTCAATGTAAAGGATCTGAATTCCCAACAAACGTGCAAACGTGTGTGTGTGTGTATGTGTGTACGTGTGCGTATGTGTGTACGTGTGTACGTGTGTGTATGTGTGTACGTGTGTGTGTGTATGTGTGTATGTGTGTGCATGTGTGTGCATGTGTGTATGTGTGTGTATCTGTGTGTGTAGGTAGCTTAGCTCTCTCACTTAAATTAATCCTTCAAATGTGAGCACAATTAAGAGATGTGTGGTTGCTTTGCTCTAATTAAAAGGTTGCAACCAACATACCGTCTTGATAATACTCAGCAGGAATCATCAAGTCGATTTCACCGCCCTGCAGAAACAGAAATCAGTTATTGAGACAAGAATTGGCAACGGCTTTGGAAGGCGTTCATTCACCAGTAGATTGATCACGGCCGCCGATGGTGGTGATGAATACCATAATACACAGAACTAATAGAGGGTGGCTGAGTGATACTGTTCCTGATATGATGGAGCTCTCATATTTGGCTCATCAAATGATGGATATGTCGAATGTGATTCTACATCCAAGATTCCGCAATATTTATAAAAAATTAAAAACATTTAGTATTTTGATATTCAAGCACAATCATGTATGACGCAGGACGCTCAACTCTGTTGATGGCCCTGGGCCAGTGGTGGTAATTCCTCATTCTTCTGATGGGGCAAATCACCGAGAACAATTCCTCTTGTCCGATTACACAAAGTGGTAGCTATTTTATACAGCCCCAAGATATTGTGGGCTGACATTTTGATTGCAAGTTGAGTTCTCTAACCACAGTGTCACCGGGCCAGATTGTGAATACGATCGGATTGATCTACCTGTCCACTTTATGGCTGAGCTGCTAATTTGACCCTCTCGTGCATCATGTCAACTGTGCGTCATGGCAATGTATGACTATGGCATGAAATGATACGAAACACTGTCAACGCATTGACTCCTAAAATCTAATTAAACCAAACATTTGTTCGGGGGGGGGGGGGGGGGGCCGGGGTTTTAGCTTTAATACCTCATGCATCAGGGAGTTAAACAATAACTCAATACGTGCGTCAATGACGCTGGCCTAGGGACAACATGTATACAGGGTGACATGTTGGGCGAGGGCCGATCTTCACAGCAGAATGTCCTCTCTACTTTGCCTGAATCGAAAAGAGTCTGCAGTGGTGCGTATATAATTTTCTTTGTTTCATTGATAACGTTACTTAAGTGTGAGTATGTGTGTGGGAGCGGTGGTGCAGCAGTTAGTCCGCTGCGTTACGAACCAGGGGACCCGAGTTCGATTCCCGCTCATGGCCAACACCAGTGACGATGATATGAACTGGTCCTCGGCCTCCCCTAGGTCGACTCAGCATTGAATTAGTAATTGGTACCGTGTGCAGTAAACATCTCCGCTAGGGAGACAAAGGCGGCCAGGTGTGGTCTTGATCACCCACCCCCTCGTGTACCATGTCGGCCTTCATAGGTGCTCCTCGCTAACAGCACTTGCCCCCTACATTCTGCGAAGATTACGGGGGGGGGGGGGGGGGGGATCGATGTCTTTTTTTGTTTGGCCTAGCGGGGTCTCACTTCCTGCTGCCAGCTTTGGTTGTCCGGCCGGAAGAGCGAGCTGGACGAGAAGCGGTTCTGGAAGTCCTGCGGGTTGTCCTCAGAGAGGCGGAACAGCACGGCGGCCGCGTACGTGGCTACGGGGGCCACGGCAGGGTGGGCACGACGGGGAGAGCGGGGCGAGAGTTAAAAATACTTCACACAAGATTGCATTAATGCTTGTAAACCCTCAAGGAGAATTAATTTCTTTAGAACTGTTTTTTGTGCTTAGTGTGTTGTCCTTCCCCTGCACCTCCGATTAGCGCGGTTGGCTACGTAAAGAAGTTCAACATAGATACATACATTCGAGGAAATCTGTTACCAGAGGAGGTTAACTGATCGCCGTTATCATCAATCGTCACGGGGCGTGGCAAACGTAAACCTCGTTGAGGACCCGACTGGAAGCAACGGGGCTTCTCTCTCCCACGGCAACTATGGACCTCGCTAAACGGCGCTCGAGCGCAACGTGGGAGATGCCCGTTCACTGCGACTCTGAAGTCCAAACGATCATGTTAATCGGCAACTAATGCACCGTCCATGCGACATCCTGGCCGTATCGCTGCAATACACATAGCGTCTACTGCCCCCTTGGGTCGGTCTAAACACGAAGCATTCAACTACAACACATTTCAAAACGGCATATTTTCCCTCCTGCCACACGAAAGAAGAATCATCAACAGCAGCCGTGATCTATGCACAGCTGGATCAAGTTCTCCACCAAGCCGTCGTCATCCCGCCCTGCAATATAACAATCAGCCACACCCCCCGTTCGCACACGTGCGCGCACACGCACACACACACACGTGGGCCCCTCCGATTGGCACAGCTGGCTGCGTACGGTGCAAAAGAAGTTCAACGTACGTACATACAGTCTGCCTTTTAGAACTAACGTGGCAGGGTGGGAGCAGTGGAAACACTCTTGCCTCACGGCAAGAAGGGCTCCGGCGGGCTCTATTCCCAACTCGGGCAACCTTTCGCGCGTTGGGAGTTGTTTCGCGCGGTGGGAGTTGTTTCGCGCGTTGGGAGTTGTTTCGCGCGTCTCCTACCGACTCCCTCGTTGCGCGAGTGCAGCAACTCGGTGAGGATGGGGTTGGGCCCCTCGGCGTCGATGGCGTCGGCCGCGTCCTTGTCCTGCGCCATCTCGCACAGCACGCCCGTCGCCACGCGCTGCACGTTCTCGTTCGGGGAGAAGAGGAGCTGCGCACGGGGGCAAGGGGGGAGTGGGGGGCGGCACGCGTTGGCTGCTGCTGCTGCTGCTGTACATGTCCACGTGTCGACGACGATGACGACGATGACGATGAGCCACTTCGTTGAGCTGCTATCATGTGTGGCCAGGTCGCTGCTGAAAACGAAGCTAATAGCTCAGTGGGCTTTACCTGGTAAGATAGAAAGAGTTTAGTTTCATTTGCATACTTTGTTTAAGTGATTTGTTTACGGTTCCTACACCTTGCACTCCTATGGTGTTTTTCTGTTGTTTGTTGTTGTAACGTTCTGACCTGCGCCCCAACTGGACATCTGTGAAAAAGAGCTTCATAGCTCATCGGATTCCTCCAGTATAAATAAACATAATTCTGATGCTGAATAGTACGGTTGTCAGTGGCACAAGGCAGTGGCATAAGGCAGTGGCACAAGACTCGAAGGCAGAGATGAGTGCCACCCCATCAACAGAGTCAGCACGCATATCTATAAGGTAAAAGTGCAGTCCTGCAATTGCTTTCTCGTGCCACTCCTGGCAGAAGGCCCTCCACCAACCGTGCTAATCGCACCTAATCCGATTACCACAGTTGGCTATGTACGGTGCGAAATAAGTGCAACATACATACACACAAGGGAGACACACACAACATGCACGGGCAGAGTGTGGGTGTTGATTGTTTCAACGCTGACTGTCCGTTAATATAATTCTCATATAAATATGGCAGGATGGTAGAGATCATCTACAAAGCGTCAATGGAGTAAAGAAGTCAAATTGCACGGAACAATGCTATGACATTTGTGGTTTTGCCCCTTTGAAAGAGCGCTTGAATGTAAGTTGAACTTCTTTCACACCGTGCGTAGTCAACCGTGCTAATCTGAGGTGTGGGAAACTTGATTGGATAACATTGTGGTTGTACTGTGTGAATACTGGTGCCTGCCATGTGAATGTGGAATTTCCACTCCTGGCTCAAAACCAACACTGGTGACTCATACCACCCGATGCCGAATTCAGCACAATCAGAAGGCCATGAGAGTTCAGATTGGAAGGTCGCGAGATAAAACCGAAGATTTGCTCACTCAATAAAATAAGTACGCCTTTTAAGGAAACCAACAGTGGTTGTCCAATCAATAGATTCTCACCACTGACTCAGCACGGCCAATGGAGATGAGCGCTACCCAATGCTCATTAGAGCACGGTGGCGACACTCTCACCATGTTTAAACTACATACCACGTCCTACACACATGCACAGCGTGAACACTATGCACCATTAGCTCCTCGTGGCTTTCCGCAAATCAAGAAGCTGTTTAAAAAGCAGGGTGCGCAGTGACCCAGTGACACAGGGCAGCCTTAACAAGTCCAACTCTAAATAGGCGTCTGTCTGTTGCTGACACTCTCACTCTTTGAAGTTTCCCATGAACTGCAGTGTGGAGGAGGAGGGGGGGGATTTGCGGGAGGGATTGGGGTGGGGTGAGCGAAGGGGGCGCTGTGGACGAGAAGTCTCGATGCTGACGGGCTTTGGGATGAGACTTGGGGAGTTGTAGCTGAGGATGCTAGGCACATTTTTAAGTTTGCATTCCAGAAATACATTACCCATGAGTTCTAATGCTTCAGAGTTAATTATAAGCAAATGTACGAGTCGAACGTCACAGTGTTCCCCTGCTAGAACTAGCGTTGTTGCGTGGTGGGCATTTCCATCGGCAGACCTGAGCCTGAAGGGGAAATTCCATATTGGCATGGCCGGGTCTGATCTATCTACTAGAGACCCACCGTTGACTTAATTGTATAAAACCACACAGCAAACAACGCTCTTGTTGGCGAACTCTACTCGTCCGTGAAACAAAAGCGCCTCCCCGTCACAGCCTGGCATTACGAAAACACCAAAAAAATGGAATTTGTGGCCGCGGAGGGCCGGTGGCGCACCCCCTGTGGACCGACGAAGCGAGCGGCCGCACCTGCACGAAGATGGGGATGACGTTGAGGCTGGTGATGAGCGTGCGGCTCGTGGGGTCACGGGCGAGGATCTGCAGCGCGCCCGTGCAGCCCTCCACGATCTCATCCATCCGGATCCCGTCCTGCACAGAGGAGTACACCCGGCCGTGAATGCCCACCGCCGCTCAAAAGCCACGCGAGAACGCGGGAGGCTTCAAGGAAGCGGCCTCACCGTGCTCTTACGTGACAATATACACAGGGCGATCTATTCACAGACAACCCACTGAAAGAGGTAAAAAGGCAAAGGTGCAGCCCTGCAGTTTCTTGCTCACGTCACATTTTAATTCAAAGCCTCCACGTGTCTCCCAGAAATCTCAATAAACTCATTACATCCTTAACACTCTACGAATAAACAATGATGAAGATGAGTGCTCACCACGGTCGCTGGGGGAAGAGTCCCCAATGCCGCTGTGTCTACTTCTGTTGAGAATGAAATCTAGACGATGGCGATGACGGTGATGATGACGACGACGCCGATGGGTGCTCACCACGGTCTGGGGGAGAGTCCCTGAGGCTGTGCGCAGGGTGTCCTGGTGAGCTCGAATCAGCAGCTGTGCGAGACGATGGACGACGCCCTCGTCGCGCATCGGAGCATGGTTCGCCGAGCTCAGCGCCAGGTTCCGGATGAGCCCCACATCGGCCTGCCGAGCCAACGCACAGGCGCGCACACACACATACGTAAACGCACAGACACGTGCATGCACACACGGGCACACACGCACACATGCATACGGACATATTGTACATACATATACACAAGGGTGCGTATGCGTTCGACTGCAAATGTCTTTCATCCAAATTATTTTTCTATTTGGTAATCTACGTTACAAGTGAATTTAAATTCACAACTCTCACAGCGAATGCAATAAGCTCGCATTCTTAGAGAACGGCCCCCAGAAGTTGATATCACAGAACTACTTCTGAAGCCTCTCCAATAGGCCCCTTATCGACACCAGGTAGCATATCTTATGTATGCCTTGAAAATTGAAAATAATGTTGTTTGCGTGGCTATAAAACCAAGATGTTTTCGTCATTATACTTAAAATAAGCTGAATGAAGTAATAAACTAAATTAAATATCACAGTTATTTATGGGCAAATATTGGTGACTGGGCTGAAACCATCAACTCACTACATTTATTTATCTTTGTTTAATCATGGGCAGCGAAAACACATGGCAGATTGTAATATATCAGCAGAGTCAGTGGTGCGCAAAAACACAGCCATTAACCCGTTGAGAAGTAATTCAATGATGAATTAATTTACTGGTTGAAGTCAATTCTCTAAACACATGCATTAAATGATGCTGGGAGATAATTACTTATTTACATGGTATGTCAGTTATATGCAACTAATATGTTAATGTTACATTCTGTCGAATGGACAGGGCATAACAGAACAGAAAATAATGAGACCGTATAAAACAAGATCTAAAAAGAAGACATCAATTTGGAAACTCTAATGGTCAAATCAGTCGGGGCTGAATCGTTATATAGCTACTCCTGAGCCATCCTGTCACGTATTTTCACAGCTGCAAAACCGCTGACAAAACCCCTCTGGAGGTTTTTCCTCTTGAGTAGCTACATTTCATTTAAATTCTGGCCCTGAATAAGCGCCTAACACGAGGCGCGATTCGTCAGATATCATCCCGGACAACGTGCGGCACAACCCCAAAAAACACGCCCATGGGAGCGTCGGCAAACCTCATCGGCTTACAGCCACCGGCGGCTGAATTAAACCAACGCTCGCTGTGCCGCGGACTTTCTCCGCTCTCTTCTCCGCTCACCTTGATCAACGGCCAGTTGGAGGGCGGCTGCAGCAGCTTCACCACGAGGGGCAGCCCCATGCTATCGCGCACGGCAGACTGGGCCATGTCGGCGTCCTGGTGCCGGCTGGTCAGGTGACGCAGGGCGCAGACGGCCGGCTCGAGGATGTCCTCGTGCCCGCCCATGTGCTCCACGGTGTTCAGCAGAGCTTCGATGCCGCCCATCTGCAAAAGGGGTTCCCCCGCAGTTACTCTCTCCTTTGGCTGCTACTCCGTCGTTTGTCTCGACCATCGACGGTCATCCCTTTTCATCATAATGCAGTGGCTATCATGTTTGATGGTGGTGTTTAGTTTTATATACCAGGAGTTAACTATGTTAAATGACAGAACTTGATAAAGGAAGCTAATAAGTGAGGCTGGTATGGCCAGCACGACATCGAGATGGCTGCCTTTGTCTCCCTAGTGCTGCTCTCTGCACGTGCATGCACGCACACAGATGCACACATACTTGGAGGCACAAAGACCAAAATCCCCCATACAGCCTTGACAGACTGTTGGGGCAAGTGCTGTTAGTGAGCACCTATGAAGGCTGGCACGGCACACGAGGGTGGTCAGCACCACGCACAGCTGCCTTTGTCTCCCGAGTATCGTTGTTTCCATATCGCACCAGGTACTGATTTCAGGCTGAGTTGACCTAGGAAAGGGCCAGGACCGATTCAGATACTCGTCACTGGTGTTCACCGTGAGCGGGAATCGAACTCGGGCCACCAGGTTCGTAGCGCGGCGTGGCGCTAATCGCTGCACCACAGCTCCCCACTACTTGGGAGGCACACACATGTAAACACACGCGCATGAGACAGACACCCACGTGCACGCACACACGCATGCGCACGTGTGTGTCCGGCCGTGCCTGATAGACTGCGAGTTTGTTGTTGGAGTTGTTGCAGGTGAGGTTGGAGAGCGTCCCTGCGGCGCACGTCACCAGACTCAAGTCCCGAGAGCTCAGCGCCTCCACAAGCATGTGCAGCAGCTCCTGCATGTCCTCCTGCACAGGTGACAGCAGAAACACAGATTCCCAGTGTGGCCTTTAACCCTTTCCCATTCCGATGACGCAGGTGTACGTCTTCAGTTTTTCTTCCGATTCGAGTCTGATGAAGTACGTGTACGCCATCGCGGAACCAAGACGACAACGCAAAGCAGCTGCGGAAAGAGGTGACTGGGTGGCTAAAGAGTAGCTATATTAACCACCCGGCCACTTCCGCACGTCCCCACTGTTGAGGAGTTGCCGACATGAGAGTCTAATTTCCGTAAGGAGGAAACGACTTGCTCACCTGCTTTGTGGCCGCGTCGGACAGGTTCCTCAGGGTCCAAAAGCAGTTTTGCACGAGACGTGGGCTGGGGTTGTTCATGTGCAAAGCCAGGGCCTGCATGCCTCCTGCACAAACATAAATACACCCTCAGCAACTCCCGATGGACCCCCACACGTACACGCGAATTTGACTACATGTCCACCATTCGGCACGGAGCTGCGGCGATGTAGCCACGGTGCCTGCGCCGGCTGGGTGCCAAGTGACACCATGGGAAGTGGTGAAGCCTCTCTGATAGGGAGGTCAACGGGACAGAGAGAAGTGATGTGGTCACGATTGTCAATAAGCTGAGCTGGCTGCACATCCAGTGACAGGCAGTCGCTGTGTTACCGCTGCCCGGCGCTCTGCTCGCTGTTGTAAGCATCGCTCTCGCCACCGTACGTAGAATCTGGAGGCCGACTACTTATTACCAGCTGCCAGTGGGCATAATTCACACGCCTCTACAAATCGTAATTTGAGCTGGCAATGTTGCTGAAATTGTCCTTATTATCGACCAGTGTCTGGTGTTTGGAAGCACCATTACTTAGCCAGCTTTGCCTAGCGGTGCCGTAAGACTACAACGAAAAGGAACGAGCAACAGAGAGAGCTAGAATAAGGATGGTACACGAGAGTTGACATGCAAATGGTGTAATGAGAGACGAAATCATTCAAAATCAGTGCCACGCAAAGAAAGGAAGAGTAGAAATACATTCTGAAATGATCGTTAAGCGCCACGCCAGGTATTCATTTTAGTCCCAAGTCAACCTCGGGGAGGGCCCAAGCTTGATTCACATACGAATGTCTACCAACATTATACATAACCGGGGATCACATCTGGATGATTGGGCTGATAAGGCAGTGTGCCAATCCCTGGCCAATATCTCCCAAGTAAATGTAAACACACAGGCAGGAGTTTTTTTTTCTCCTCCTGGCTGAAAGGCAAACCTTTTTCTCTGTTTGCACAAACGCTCGTGGTTGAAGATTTCGTGAGCACAATATCAGATAAAATACAGGGATTAGCATATCTAAAGCTGCAGCATTGAAATAAGAATATTGACACTTGGATGACCTAAAATTAATTTTAGTGGAGTAGAGGATGGGATCGATGTGGTTTTACTCTACAACCTGGCCTTTGCACCATTATTCATTGTTGATGTATTTTTTTACACGCTTTTATTTAACTCACTCTGTTGTTGTCGTTGTATCCTCAAATCTTGTAACTAAATTTTAACTCACTTCCAAATGTGGTATCGACTGCAAACTGTGTATACTTATGTCATACTGATGACAATACTATATTCTATCATAAAAAAAAAAAACATATTTCAAAACATTCTTTTCCACACTTTTTATATTCTATCATTAAAAATAAAATAAAAATATTTTTAAACAATCTTTTTTAAATGTTATGTTTCGCCTTGGGTCTAATTGTCCACGCTCAACTCACGTTGGCTGTAAATCACCACAGTCCCTTACGTTATGGCAAGCTTCGGGGCCACTTCCTGGAGTTCTACCATTACTCGTACGGTACATTTCATTAAAGCGTGTTAAAAAAAATATTTTTAAATTTCTTATTTCAGTTACATTTGATCATCCCATGGGGAGACTGGCCCTTGCCATAGGAACCGGGAATTTCGACAACTTGCTCAGAAGACCCAAAGTATACAACGAGCACTTCTGCATGCTTACGTGAGCACGGAGACACTTCAAATGTTAAAATCCCAAATGAATGACACAAACTTATCCACCAACTTCTTTGCGAGTCAAGTTATTGTAAGGCGTCTTGGCAGGTCGACAGCAATGACATAAATTAAACAAATACTGAATAATAAATAATCAGACAACGGTCCGTTTCACTTGAACAAAAATAACATTTTAGACTTATCAACCCATGGGTCCTTCCACCTACGATTAACACGGTTGGCTAGATATGGTACGAAATAATTTCAGCATATATACATACATACATAGATTCTAGGTCTAATGTTTTCTCACACCATTTTTTTTATCACAGGCTGGATGTGTTGTCTTCTTATAGTCTCAGAGAAGACAACATGGGTTCAGGGTTCACCTTGCTCAAATAAATACATCTGGATGAATCCCATTGATGGATTTCGATAGACACTATTTTATGTGTTTGTGTGATAAAAAAAACCTCACCTCCTTTGTTCATTAACTTATTCGTTTATGCTTCTGCGCAAGGTGTTCACGGCTGTGCTTTAACGGCTCTCCATTGTGTTTTCGGGTTGTACCGCGTGTTGTTCAGCACGGTGTCCGACGTTTCGGATATGGTACCGAAGAATGCGGTGGACAACCCAAAAACACGTCAGGGAGTAATCGGTTGATGAACGGCGGCTGGCACAACAGTTTATAGCTTCCAAGCGGCTCCGCGCGCCCCCTAACTTTGACGCACTCCCAACAGCTGCTGAACTTCGTGTATGTGTTGAACTTCTTTCGCACCATACGTAGCCAACCGTGCTAATTGGAGGTGCGGGCAAGGACAACAAACTAAACACATACACACGCAACAAAAAGCGGGGTGCACGTGAACCCACCAACTCGTGGTCCCCCTCGACCCAACGGTTGGCTACGTACGGTGGGAAAGAAGTCCAACATACGTACATGCAGACAACATACGTGAGCCGTGCGTGCACCCACCGGCCTCCACGATGGCTGGCTTATTTTGGGGGCAAACGGACAGGACCTTGAGCACCCGGCTGGTGGACCACAGCAGCTTCTCGTAGGTGTGAGTCCGCAGGATCTGCACCAGCGCTGCCGGGCCACCGCTCGACAGGATGACCAGCTGCACGCCAACGCACACGGTTGTATGTTGAACTTCTCTCGCGCCGCACCGAGCCAACCGTGCCAATTGGACTCATCATCTACGCCGGCGGTCGTTAAAACGAGTAATCGCTTTGTGGGCGATCAGCGGCGGTTGTCTTACAGAGAGAATGACCCCTGCCTGCCAAGGTGGAAATTCCAATGCTGGCTCATGGATGCCAAAAGATGAGCACGGATCCCATGCTCACTTGAATATGCAGACACTTTGACTTATCTTGGATTTTCTGGATGGGTGGTGCTATGGTTAGAGGACTTAACTCCATGGAAAGGTTGTTAGTTAAAATCTTGGTTGTCGGTCAAAGAAGCCCAGCCATCATCACTTTAGTGTAAATAAAAGCACCTTTTCGGAGAATTATAACAGCTGTTGTCCTTATGGAGAGATTGGTTCCCGCCATGAAAATGTGGAATTTCCAACAATGCCTCAGGACTTCCAATAGATATGAGCACCACCCCCTATGCTCGTTGAAGATTCATACATTTTAACTTTGACCAGACCTAAGCACTGTGGTCTAGATAGTGAAAAAAACTGCCGTTTTACAATATTTGTCTAACTGTGAGAGTGCATTCCGATCATGCTGTAGGCATTTAGACACACTCGTGAATCATCTGTCCATCCAAAACACCCCATGATAAAGAGCCAAATGTTTCTTTGTGGAATCGTCGCAAACCTTATCTAAGTTTTCTTCAAGGGTCTCATGTACAAAATCATTAAATTGTGCTGTATGCCTTGATGCCAAAGAGGTTTCCCATATTGCATTCACAACAATGATTTAATAATTGTCTTCCTCACCTTTATGAAACCACATTGGCTGTTTTGTGGACAGACTGGCTCCATCCATAGTAATGTGGTATATCTGCCACTGGATAAGGGCTAACGATGACTGTGAAAAAGAGCTTCATAGCACATCGGATTCCTTCAGTATATTATGATTCTGAATGACATGAGCATTTCAAAATACTTGATTGAGTATGGAGATAAACGTGGCTTTTGAAATATGTTTAGCATAATTGTTTCTGCTTAGCCACTGATAATTTCATGAAAGAACCATGACTAATAAAAGCAGCAAAACACAATACTGTAATCAGGAATAGGCTAAATACTTTAAAAGCAGGGTCATTGTGCAGAAATATTATTAATTTCTGCATCACGAGAGGGATGCTGATGGGCTGCATTTATGGCGAAGAGGGATTTGAAGTCGCGACCTTCTGATTGCAGTGTTAAGCACCCTAACCGCAGCACCACCCAGCCGTGCACAACACAATCCATGTATACACACACCTGCTCTTATCACACGCGGGAGCCCCAAACCAAAGGTCTCAACAATCCTGCCCAGTGCTGTGACACGGAGACACAGTCAGTGTTCGGAGGGTGACTTTTGAAAAGTAATGAGTTACTGGTAACAGATTTCCTTGTATGTATTTATGTTGAACTTCTTTCGCACCGTATGTCGCCAACCGTGCTAATCGGAGGTGCGGGGACAACAAACTAAAACGCAAAAAGAAAGGAGCTTTCAATCTTGATTTGAAGCTTTCGTGACTGCAGGAATCCATACTCTTTGGTTCTTAAAAATATGTTTTTATTTTATTTTATACCTACGTGACTTTACCGAAAGAACCAAAGAGAAAGGAGCTTTCCTTGAGGTTTGAAGCATAGCACTGTAACCTTGTGTGAAGTAGTTTTAACGTAACGTCACCCGCTTACTTTTAAATTTCTCACGGAAAAGCATTAATTCAATGTCCGCAGTGAGGGCACTGGGCTACGACTGTAGGCTCTGTAGCCGGGTCCGCATGCACTGGCTGCTGATGTCCTCTCACTAACCCTAAGCTGCTGGCACAATCGCCGTTTCTGAAATGATTGTGCACACGTTAAAAAGACAATTATCATAAAGAATAATCGACATGCACGTGATGTATGGTAATGTTGGTTTGAAACGACGAATATATTCAATGGACAAAAACGAATCTTAGCCTTTAGGGTACGTGCCTCGAATCGTGCGTGCAATGATTATAATTAATACATGTGGTGCACGTTAATTGGTTTCAGTGATCCTGCGTCCACACGTGGCGATACAATCACCACAGCGTTAAAGAAAAAACGATCGTGATCCCAAATCGCCACAATTCAATGAATTATGAGGGGGGGGGGAAATCCTTGCGTGCCTAGAAATCTGATTACACATTTTAAAGAGTATTCATATGGCCCCCGGGCCACTCGTCTTCCCCCAGTATCTTAGTTAACTCCCCCCTCCCCATATGAATCTTCATACCCCTGCACGTGGTCCCCACTTTGGTGGGGCAGCGAGTCCGATGGTGCTGCCGCGCCGAAGTTGGCTTGCCGTTCGCGGACTTTCTGTGCCCGCTCCGTTTGTGATCGGCGTACTGTACCGCACTCACGTTGCGGTGTTGCAATAAAAACAATTATGAGAGTAATCACATGGTTTTACCAGTACCCTGCCCTTCGGTAATGTGACCACATTGACTCACTACTCTGAAGCAAACGATACAGATATACAGCGACAGCCTCCGCGAGTGGGCGGCCGCGAGTGGGCGGGCTGGGCACCTTGCTCTCCTGGTTGCCGAAGGCAAGGATCTGCAAGCAGTCGGTGGTGATGGCCAGGAACTTCTCGTTGGTGCGGTTGAGAAGGGCCACCATCTTCTGGAGGCCGCCAGCCAGACGGACGGCCATCTTGCTGCCCTCTTGGTTGAGCAGCAGGTGGTGCAGGGTGGTGATCGAGTAGAAGACCACCGACTCCACGGGAGAACTGCACGCACAGCCGAGCCGCGATCGGTTTCAGATAAAAGCGACGAGCCCCGTTATCCGCGATTCCCTTATCTTCTAATTCCTATAATACGTGAGATCCACGACTGCCTCCACGATCCACGTGATTTTAAGTTGGATGCGGCTCGAATGCAGTGGTTGACCAACACCAACCAAATTCTACAACCCTAGCCCACAGCACTTCAACATTTTGGAGGAGAGTGTTGCTGGATCGCATAGACTTGTGAAACTCCAAAAATAGCTGGGCTGTGAGGTCACCAGAAATTATCAGCACAGCAAATTACTTCTTGAACACGCATTTGCATTGGACCCTTCATTGTTATTCCTGTACGCAAGTCTCCCATGAAGACGGGATTGGCCAAATATTCCAATGCAGGAATCTTCCAATAAAGTGTCTTTGAAAACTTTTGAGGCTTTCTTAGATAAATAAATGGCATTACAATCATGATTATTACAAGCCATTCCTCTTATTTTCTTTGTCAATATCCATGTTTTTGATTCCATGTCACAGCAGGTAAAGTTCAGTGATTTAAAACTTTCTCATCTGGTGACACAGCAAGTGGGCTTGGGCAAGACGAGTCGCGAGAAGGGATAATGGCCGCTGATCGAGACGATCAATGGAATATATCAGGCGGGACAAACCCAAAGATATGATCAATGCACAAGTGGAGCAAAGTAATCGGTTCACGGGCAGAAAGAGACGGATTGTTGCATCGCGGGCCATTAGAGGTGGCGATGGCTTTGAGAGGCCTTCATTCAGTAGTGGATAGATTATGGCTGCTGCTGATGAAACTTCCCTCCTGCAAAACAGAGAGCCCTTCCCTCCCTTCACCTGAGCATCTTGACGAGGGCGGGGATGCCGCCCGACTTGAAGATGGCGAGGCGGCCGGGCGTGTCATGCGCCAGGTTGTGCAGCGTGCCGGCCGTGTGCGTGGCCGTGTCGATGTCGCTCGTGTTGTGCATGGTGCGCACGAGCGCCGCCACCAGCGCCGACGAGTTCACCATGGCGCGCTGCCCGCCGGCCTTCTGCGACAGCTGGTGGGCGATGAGGGCGGCCTGCCGCACCACCTCCTGCAGGCACGCCGGGCGGAGACGGCGGCGGCGGCGGCGACGGCGGCGGGGAACGTGCGCAGTCCATCGATCGGTCACACGAGACAGATTTTATTCTTTACGTTTCCTTTTTAAATTCGCGGTTTTGTTCGACTTTTTTTTTTTACGGTGATGGCTAATAGCTCATTCATGTCATTGGCAACATGCCCATAAGGTGAACAAATGTCGGTACGGGACTCACACAGTCAACAGTGCTACATTATTATATACAAACTCGTTATGTGTTGCCGTGCAGCATTATGGGTAAAACAAGAGGGCCCCGTAGTTTTGATGCGGTGCTCTTGTCAATAGCATTCGCCAACCAGCGGAATTTGTTCAACAAGCCTGACTCTGCTGGTGAGACCGTGAAGGGGGAAACAGGTCCAGAGTTGGCACGCTTAAGAAAATGCTGCTTGTGATATAATATTGGTCCGGTAAGACTGATGAACTAAACCATATTTTCACGTGGAAATAAAGAACAAGAGTTGTGATTAAGCCAAACCACAAAGGTAAAGAAGAACGGCAATGAAATGAGCAGACACAAACACAGCCGGATACCAGTAACAGAGACAGACTTACACAACGCTGCGGGATACACAGAACACAGTTGAATTTAAAGAACACAGCCGGGTATACATGACAAGTATACCTACATAACGAAGCCAGATAGACACGAAACCACCAAATATGTATAACAGCCTGACACACATAACACAGCCCGACACACACATCCCAGCCAGACACACACAACATAGCCTGACACACAACAACACAGCCTGACAACACACAACAGCAACGACACACCCGGGCTACACCGTAACATAACGGAGCTGTGTGCGGGCGCAGCGGCGCGCGTGCCTGGTCCTCGTCGTTCAGCAGCTTGGTGAGCTCGGGGATGGCGCGCGTGCCCAGGTCCGGGTCGTCCTGGTAGCTCAGCAGGTTGTCCACCGCACTGCGCATGGCGTGGCCCGGCTCGCCCAGCCGGTGGCCGCTCGAGGGGCTGCTCGCCGCGTCCAGGTGGCCGCACGCGATCTGCAGGCCGTCCTCGTCCGGGAAGACGCCGCCGACGCCGCCGCCGCCGACGCCGCCGCGCACTTGGCGCGTCATCGAGTACGTCTCCACCTCTGCCGAAGCAGAGAAGCCGCGCGGTTAAAGCGTGGGACGCGCGCCCGGCCCGCAAGATCGCGAGTTCGAATCCCGATCGCCGCTTTGGAGAATGGCCCATTTGCGTCAATGTGTACGCGTGCTTATTTAACTTTTTTCGCGACGTACGCAGCCACCCGCGCTGATCCGAGGTTCGAAATGAATGAGCGACCGTCCGCCACCGCCTCCTCTCACCGTGACGGCTGCTGAAGGCCTGCTGCTGCGGCTGCCCGAACGCAGGATCCCAGTCTTCCCCGTCGTCGTCGTCCATGTGCCGCATGGAGTGCACGCGCGTCCCCGCGCCCGAGTGAATACCCGAGTCCATGTACGACTGCTGCTGCCACTGGGTCACCTTGGCCTTGCGCTCGGCCTCCATCTCAGTGTCTAGTTGAGCCAGCGGACACCGCGATTAGATTTGGTGGAAGTGGTGGCGACTGTTGTGGATGTGATTATGGTCGTGGATGTGATTAGGGTCGTGGATGTTGTCATGCTCTTGGTTATGCTCGTGGTTGGGGTGCATGGGGTCACGCGCTCCGAATCTACACAGCAACGGGCGGCACGGGATTCAATATAATTTGGCAAGATACAAATGTTGCGAATCACCCACCGTGTCGCTCGATCCCATCGGACCTTGGAGGTTTAGCAGGGCCGAGCCTGGATAGCGTTTGGACGGGTGACCACCATGGGCTATACACAGGTGTGGTAGGCATTGTGGGCAGTTGAGGGCACTGCAGAGAAATCCCCCATAATCTTCACCAAGCTGCACTAGACTAGTGTGAAGTATAGTTGTCAAACAGCCCCCACAAATCACGTGGCATTTGTCAACCCACTTCATACAGCAGTGGGTTGACAAATGGGTTGTCATTGTTTGTGTTCATTCATATCATTGATATTTCAGCTGTTTTAGATAATTGCTGCACATGTATTATGGTGAGTAATAATGGGTATGACAAGCCGAATAGTGTGCACACCACACCCTATCCGCCTCTCTTTCCTAGACACCACAGCCTAAAAATTAATTCAAGCCAGGCAAGATTTTCTATGCAAGGATGTTTGGTCAACTCAAGATATGGATTATAAATTAAATGGAGGCATGTTCCAGGAAAATTCAATGAGGGCAAATATTTACAGTAAAAATATATAATAATCAAATTACAGCCTGCCTTTGGTAAAAGCTATCGGCCTTTTACATGCAAGAGTCGAATTTGATATATGAATAGTATATCATGTTACAGACCAATAGAATTGAATGTCCTCTGTGATTTATACGATTATATTCAGCACCCATTCTCAAAGCACTAGACAGGCAAAATTATGCTTATGAAGTCAGACAAACCAATTAACCAATAAAACAATTAGGGTCAAATATGACCAGGCCAGAAGCACAAACGACAGCACGGCATATCAAGCATGATACAAACACACGCAACATTTAAATCATACTCCCTTTTTTTCTGCAATACAAAGGAGAAGAAAATAAACCAGAAATAAAAATCTGCCCAATTTAGGCACATCGTTAGCTCAAGGCGCGCACAGGCTTGGATCGACTCGCGAGAGCTGATGAGGCAATAACACAGAGCGAGCGGAGTAAGGAGCTCCAACGGCCTTTAAAATGCAACGCCGCACAGCACGGCATGTGGTCTTTGCACACAGGACTTGAAAGACAGACTCTCCCTTGTACCTGGGCATGAAAAGGGACTCGCAAATGGCACCCGCTGGGATGGCTGCAGGGCCCGTGCCCTCGGCAAATCACGCGGCCACACGCGCTTTAGCTTTGCGCTCTTTCAACGGGGCAGCTGCGGGTTTTGTTTATGACCCTGACGTCAGGAACGCCGCAGTGATGAAAAGGCAACGGGTTTGGACAAACATCAAATTTCAATTACGGGGGGGGGGGGGGGAAACATGCGTGCGCGAACGAACGCACGTACAAAAATCCCACATCCCTTCAACGAACACGTGCGGTAGAGACCGAGTGCGCGTGCAAAAAGTTCCGTATTCACCCCCCGTGGGTATGCGACGTCATAATGGCTAGTGTACAAGTGTGATGTTCTGTACATCACACTTGTACACTAGCCATCACACTTGTACACTAGCCTTAATGCCACGATATGAGCAGTGCTAGAAGAGTTACTCTTGAAAAGTAATTTGTTAATTAGTGATGAATTGGGTTTGACAAGTAGCACAATGTAAAAGTGTATTTTGCTGTTCAAAATTACACAACGGACACCCACGGTGGCACCATCTGCTGGGAAGAGCTCGTTAGAGATTCTGTAAGATTAACACGAGAGTTGGTCGATTGTGTTTCAATGTCAAAAGCCACAGCAAGTGACTTGCCGTTCATTGTTTGAGAGTGCAAAATGTGCACTCGGATGTTGATTTAGCTACAAAGGCCAGTCTACAACAAGAATAAAACCATGCATATTCATGGACTGTAATGCTTTCCAAAACGCATTTGAACTTTTAAGTACTTCATTAGCGGTTATGATGATTCATTCCACGGTGAGCAACGAGAATATCACACGGGGCACATTAAATCTGACGCAGCGAGATGATGTAATCGGGAGGAGAGGTAAGTGCATGACGTATGATAATTGTCTTCGTCGACAAGGATGATACTTTAAGTGATAGTTTAATGGTTAAGCTTTGGGCATCCCTTTCATTAATTTGGCCAGTTTGCGATCAAGTCCCTTAACGTCAAGCAAATTTATACTAAAGTTGTGTGACTTATAATAAAGTTGTGTGTATACTGAATCTTCTGTACGAGATGTCTCATGACCCCGCGCTAAAGACAAACGGGCAGAACTAATGCGTTAACACTTTCAACCCAAGTTGCAGGGCGTTATAAAAAAGCGCACGAGATCAAATGTGTAATGTGCGCACATAATAGTCGAGTAACTTTTGTGCAAATGACCGCTTTAAATTATTGAAACGTGTTTTAAAGCAACACGAGGGTGCTATTTTGTAGCCGAGCTGCGAGCAAGGTGGTACAAGGTGGTGTGCATTCGTTGATGCACACATCCAAGCCACAACCTTAACGCACAATCCTGCAGGCAATCCACAGCTTTCATCCACCTCCAAAATCCCGCCTGCTGTGCACGTACAGCTTGAAGGCATGCCTGTGTGTCCCTCCCAGTAATAGACATTTAAATACTGAAATAAACTTTGGGTAAAAGCAAGAATTGTACGTATTCAATCATGTACGTAAATGCATTCTTACTGCAGCACAAAAGGCTAAAAATAGTGGTAAATGTGCAGCCGTGGCAATTGCTTGCTCACGCCTCGGGCTGCCAGAAGAAGCTCCACTTGCAGAAACTCTAGAGAGCTCGTCCAGAGGGTGTTTTTGGCCTACTCTTCCATGCTGACCAGACATGTTAAAAAATACGTGGGAGTTCTCACGTTTACGCCCCCACACGCTCCCACCGACTAACTGCAGTGTTCATTTATACCGCTGCGTGGACAGCAACGGGATTTAAGAGACGTGTCTATTGTTTCAACTGCCATGCTAGGAGACGGAATCGAACGGCGACCGCTGGATTGTAAATCGAATGTGGCAATCCACCATATCGCGGCAGCATCGCCTCCAAAGACGAGCCACAAAACCAAAATGAACGTGGACACTAGCACTATTAACCGGAACAAAGCGCCGTTTAAAATTTCCAAATTAAATCTTGGCAGAAAGCCACCGCAACCTAAGCAGGGCATTACTACTTAGTCAAGGTGCACCGCCTGTTTCGTTTTACAGCTTCTACTGTAAAATATCTCGGGTCAAAGTGCTTCCCTGGCTCAAACACACACTGGGGGAGGCATTCATCTCAGCAATGTAGTAGGAAACCCCACATTCCTATGGAAACACCCACAATTAGCTGTGCACAAAAACGGTGCTCGCTCTCTTGCTCCAGGAGGGTCTATGGACTAAGTCGACCCCCCCCCCCCCCCGGGCCACGATTATGAACTCGTCACCTCTGAAGATTCACAACCCACCCGGCCTGTAGAACATACAAGCCAAGAGCACAGATTTAATGAGTCGTCCTCGTTATCGGCATCGTATAACAGCTAACAGCAGCGCCATAAGGTCACAAAAGAAAACGGGAAGAGATCATAAAAATTACGACTCAACTGTGGACGTGACTCACCTGCACAGCCTCATCCATCCCACCCACTACTCCCCCACACCACCCGACCCCACCCATTCGACTGTTTTTTTTCACTTTTTTGCCAAATATGCCACTTCGTGGGCCACACACCAACGGTCGTCTCATGGTGTCTTGCGCCCTGCCAAGTCATTTGGAATTTGTAGCTCTGGAGCAGAGCTGCAAGCAGATGTAATACGCAATGCGGCCATGCTCGTTTAAACAGGAAGTGAGTGACCTGTCTTTCATTAATGTACAACTCGTCTTAGCCCAATATCTGTTGGTGGTTTTATTATGAAATCCAAAAGACAATAGCTATTTAAGCTTGGACTTGTGTTAATCGGTCAAATAAGTCCATATTCGCTCATCTGAACCATGCTGTATTTTATGCAAAGACGTATTTGGCATTTGTGGATGACAAGGTTGAGACCACCAAACTTACTACACCTTGGGAACTTGATTTCATTTTGACTTGAAGCAGGGGAATCTCAGCATCGCTGGCTTAGTGCGATGGCAAAAGATGCAGCATTAGGTTTCTTGATCAGTCACCCCAAGACGCCTACACCTTAGGCACCCCGAACATAGACAGTAGAGACGCCAAACCAGTCTTTACACACACGCACCACGCCCACGTCTCTCAAGTCCGGACGAATTTCTCGACATGCCGGGCAAGCCAATTTGGTACCTGGGGCTTCGCAACGAAATGTAAAGTTAAGTGCAGCGAGCATACACCTTCCCCCCAAGCAGTGCTCTACAGCACATCAGTTGAATTAGTGATCAGATCCAGTAGAGTACATGATGTATACAACTGTAAATCATATCCAATTCCATGATTTATACTGAACATGGGAAAACACGTGCCAAATACCTCTTTAATGCATTACCTGTTGGTAATGTCACTGAAAACAAGATTAACATATCATTTAACTTCTCTAAAGACAGCACACGTAATAAAGAGTGCAAATTACGTCATACCTCCATGGTTTAAGAGCAAAATAAACATTGAGAGAAAAAAAAAAACTTTAGATTCGTCCTTGGAATTACCAACCTCTGATGAGCACGGTTGGCCCACGTACTGTGCGAAAGAAGTTCAACACGCAGTGCGCGCAGTCACCTCAACACCGCACTGGGCTCAAGTGCCGTCGGTCGAGCGGCTGCACGGAAATTGTCGCACAACACTACGAACCCGCTGATCCGAGTTGGAGTGGGCCTGTTGTGCTCCCACCCGCACCCCCTAAACGCCCATCATCATCA